TGCAACTTTAACAACCAGAATGGAATTTTAGAGTTGATTATAACAAGAAATCTGTTAGATAGAAATTATCTTTGTAGTTTGTTTCAGTTCATTTCTCTAAATGTTTGTTGAGTATTTAAATGTGGGGACTCACAGATGATCAGATTTAATGCTTTGGGCTTACGGCCTGTGGGGGAAGACAAACACATACCTAGACAACGTTACTACAGTAACGTTTTTCTATGATGATGGTAGCTTATGTGTAATATTTGTAATATTAAAGTTATTCTTTCCCTTGAAAATGTATCACACATTTAAGTGTAAAGGTAGTTTCATCCACTTATATAATATAGTGAGACATCAGCTTGTTCATGCTTTAGTTCTTTTCTACATTTGTGATAAGACCTTGAGTTGGCACATTTATTTTATTTTGAAAAAAATTAGAGTTGCAGAAACAACAGTTTTTGTGTATTCTTCACCCAGATTCCTCAGATGTTACACTTTTACCATATTTGCTTTAGCTCTACCTAGAATCTTCTTTCTGAGCCATTTGAGAGTCGCAGACATAATGCTTCTATTTTCCCTGAATATTTAATTGTGAGTGTCCTAAAAACAAGGAGAGTCTCTTACAGGATTACCATAATAATAATCAAAGTTAAGAAATTATTCAGATTTTTCCAATTGTCACACTACTGTCTTTTACAGAAAAAAAAACACCCAGTGAGGATCTAGGATCCAATTCGGGAACACGTGTTGCGTGTAGCTGTCATGTCTGTTAAGTTTCTTATCTAAAATAGTTCCTAAATCTTTAACATTTATGACCTTAGCATTTTTGAGGAGCACAGGCTGTTTAGTTTTTGTAGTATTTTTAAATTAGGTTTGTTTCCCCATGATTAGATTCAGATTATGAGTTTTTGGCAGAAAAGCCACAAAAGCGATGTGCTCTCAGTGCATTACATCAGGAGACAGGCTGTCTCTTTGCTGCATTGCTGGTAATATTAACCTTGCTTTCTTGGTTAACAGAGAGTTTGCCTGTTTTCTCCATTGTGGACTTACTTTTTTATTTTACCAGGGGATGTTTGAGACTAAAATATCTGTTTCTCTTCAGCTTTTACTAATTTTAACTTTATTTGTGATTTCTTGTCTGAAGCAGTTATCA